ATAAATGGCTATTGTCTTTCTCTTCCAGCAGCTTCCTTTTGCTGAGTGTGAATTCTGTTTGTTCAGACCAGTTCTCTGTCCGATCTAGGCTCAACGAGGCTCAGATCTGGTTGCTGGGGCACCCTGAGTATAGGCATCTGCCTGGCGGTAGAAGCAAAGTGGTCTTCAGCTCATAGACTGGTGGTGGAAAAGCAGTTCCCTGAACACCCTGCCTCTACCAGTAGTCCTCTAGCTTCAGGGCAGAGGGGGGTCATTCCACCATTTTGACTCTTTCCTGGCTTTCAGATGCAAGGAGATCAGGCCAAGTTGATACACTCTAATAAGCCAATAGCTCCATTCCCGCAAAAGTCCACAATCTCTGAAGACCACCTTCTTCTCTGGACCAGCCACTGTCCTGTCTTGCTCCAGGACTCTGTCATCAAGTCGCTTGAAGCTCAGGAGAGATGCTGACCAAGGAAGGACTATAGATAGGAAATGCCAGAGGAGCGGTATGGAGTATTAAGCTCAAAGGAGGAAGGACTAAGATCCCTGTGGGACTGAAATAGTTAAGGAAGGCTATGCCTGTCACTGATTTTTGACAAGGTTGCCATTCAGTGGGTAAAGAACAGTTCTCTTCAACAAATGGTGCTGGGGTAACTGGGTATCCACATGCAAAAGAATGAAGTTGGACCCCTGCCTCACACTATATACAACATTAATTAAAAATCAACCTAAATACAGGAGCTAAAACCATAAAACTCTTAGAAGAAAACAGGTAAATCTTTATGACCTTGGGTTTGGTAGTGGATTCTTTTTTTTTTTTTTTTTTAAGATTTTATTTATTTATTTGACAGAGACAGCAAGAGAGCACAAGTAGGGGGGAACAGTAGAGGGAGAGGGAGAAGCAGGCTTCCCGCTGAGCAGGGGGTCCAATGTGGGGCTCCATTCCAGGACCCCGGGATCATGACCCAAGCCGAAGGCAGACGCTTAACCATCTGAGCCACCCAGGCACCCCTTGATAGTGGATTCTTAGATATGACATCAAAAGGAGGATCAACAAAAGAAAAAAATAGATAAATTGGACTTCATCAAAATTAAACTTTTGTGCATCAAAGGACCTTGTCAACAAAGTAAAACAATTTAGAAAATATTTGCAAATCATATGTTGGAAGTCTAGTATCTAGCATATATAAAGAACTCTCACAGCTCAACAACAAAAAGAATTTAAAAATGGGCAGGGGATTGTTCACTTCAAGAACAGCAATAGTTATTTATAATACATACAAATATGAAAAGAGCAATGAAGGAGATTCAAATTTAGCACAGAGAGACTTTTTGGTAATTTTTTTTTAAAAGTTACTTATGTTTAGGGGCACCTGGGTGGCTCAGTCGGTTAAGCATCTGCCTTCAGCTCAGGTCATGATCCCGAGGTCCTGGGATCGAGCCCCACATCATCGGGCTCCCTGCTCAATGGGGAGTCTGCTTCTCCCTCTCCCTCTCCTTCTGTGCTTTCTCTCTCTCTCTCTCAAATAAATAAAATCTTTTTTTAAAAAGTTACTTATGTTTAGGTATAAAAATGATAATATAATAGGGCGCCTGGGTGGCTCAGTTGGTTAAGCGACTGCCTTTGGCTCAGGTCATGATCCTGGAGTCCCTGGATCAAGTCCCACATCGGGCTCCCTGCATGGCAGGGAGTCTGCTTCTCCCTCTGGCCCTCCTCCCTCTCATGTGCTCTCTCTCTCAAATAAATAAATAAAATCTTAAAAAAAAATAGAATAGAATATAGTTATGTGGGTTTTTCCCCCTCTAGTTTTTTTAAGAGCTTAAATTATTTTTTTAATTGAGGTTAAAGTCATAAAATATTAACCATTTTAAAGTGAACAATCCAGGGGCGCCTGGGTGGCTCAGTCATTAAGCGTCTGCCTTCGGCTCAGGTCATGATCCCAGGGTCCTGCCTGGGTCCAACCCCACATCGGGCTCCCTGCTCCACGGGAAGCGTGTTCTGCCTCTCCCACTCCCCCTGCTTGTGTTCCCTCTCTCACTGTCTCTCTCTGTCAAAAATAAATAAAATCTTAAAAAAAAAATAAATAAAGTGAGCAATCCAGAGCACTTAATACATTCATATTGAATAGACCTTTTTCCAAAGATCTACACGTGACCAGCAAGCACATGAAAAATGATCAGTGTCATTAGTCAGTAGAGAAATGCAAATCAAGCCACAGTGAAATACCTCTTCACACCTACTAGGATGGCAGGTCACAAAATGGAAAACAACAAGTGTTGATGAGTATGTAGAGAAATTGGAACCCTGCAACTTTGCTCGTGGGAGTGTAAAATGGTACAGCCTCTATGGAAAATAATTTGGCAGTTCCTCAAAAAGTTAAACACAGAATTGCCATGTGCAATTCTTGAGTATATACCTTCTAGGTATATACTCAAAAGAATTGAAAACCGGTAATCAAAGATATGTACATATATGTTCATAGCAGCACCATTCACAATAGCCAAAAGGTGAAAACCACCCAGTGTCCATCAGTGAATGAATGGATAGACAAAATGTGTCTGTCTGCCTGTCTGTCTCTCTCTGTCTCTCTCTCTCTCTCACACACACACACACACACACACACACACACGTATAATGGAATATTATTCAGTCATAAAAAGGAATGAAATACTGCTGCAGGCTAGAGCGTGGATTGAACAACATATGATGACGATAAGTGAAAGAAATCGGACACAAAAGGTCGCATACTATGTGATGCCGTTCATTTAGAATATTTAGACTAGCTAAATCTGTGGGGACAGAAGGTGGGCTGGCCATTAACAGGGGTTGGGGAGGGGGGATAACTGCTTAGTAGGTACAGGGTCTCCTTTGGGGGATGAAACTGGGGACCAGAGAGAGGTGGTGGTTGTCCAGCGCTGTGAATGTATTAAATGGCACTGAATGGTCCCTTTAAAATTGTTAATTTTATGTTGAAAAGAAAGACCTGGCCTCATTGGGTACAGAAAACTGAGTGGGCTGAGCATTGAAGGTGGGAAGAAAGTGTAAGTAAAGGTGGGAGCCAGGTAGAGTGTGAGCTGGGGCCCTGCCGGGGAGCCTGGGGCAGATGGTGCAGCCTCTGGCTTGTGTCTGAGTCGCGGGGGACGGGGAGCACCCTGTCGGGCTGAGGCAGCAGGGCTTACTCCTCTGGGCAGCAGAGAACTGGAATGGCTTGCGACCAGGAGAGGAACACCACAGGAGATGAATTGAGGTGTCAGCCTATTCACAGGAGGATGAGCCAGGGAAGGCCTGGAGCTTGATGGCCAGTGCGCGGGCCGTCAGTGGTGAACACACCCGCTCGGGCTGGGACGGCCGGCTCTAGAGGGGACGCAGCAGGAATCGGAGCCATGCTTCGTGCTTAGGCTGGGCCCGGCCTGTTCCTCGGCTGTATGCTCGTTAACTCATTTAATTCTCCTAGGAACCCTGTCAAGTATGAATTCTTCTCCCCCCGTGCACAGGTGAGGACACAGGCTGAGAATGGCCTAGATTTGAACCCAGGCAGCTGACCCCAGAGCCACTACAGTTCTAGTTATGATGCAGAGATCAGTGCAAGAGATTTTTTTGAAGCCCATTCACTTCACTTATAAGGTTGAGGAGAGGGAAATTGGAAGAAGGGAACTAGAGCCAGAGTAAAGACCTTCACCCCTGGGTATCCAAGAGCTGATACGGGTCTTCTCGGGTGGGTCTTCCAAGCCCAAGTATCTGGCTGGCTGGCCGTCCTGTGGACTGGGGTCATGGCTAGAGACAGAACTCCAGAGGAGGCCAGCAGAGGGACCTTCCAAAGGGGGGTGGGGGGGAGCCAGGAAAGTGGAGTGTCTGATCCTAGGTGGGCCCCCTTTCCTGCTTCCCGCATGCTGTCCCCCCTGCTTCCCCTCTCCTGCACCCTGCCTCAATGCCCTGCTAGGCCCTCCTGGCCACACCGAGGCAGTTTGAATCACCAGGCAGTTAGCTCCTGTCAACAAGCCCTGGGTCCTTGTCTCTATAGCCACAGTGGTTGCTTTTCCCCAGAATGGCTTTGGAGGGCTGCGTGGGAAGGGGCCCGATCACAGACTTGCCACCTTGATGCGAATTTCTGATATTCAAGATGAAAACATGAATGATGTACCTTTTGTGGGTTCTAGGAAGGGGACATGGGGAAAACTCTGGTAACTCTGTTCTTCCTGCCTTTGATTTCCACATACACAGCATTGCTTCGTTTCAATTATGAAATGCCCCCTGAAGGGCTGTGAGGAAAAGCTCTCCCCTAGTGAAGCTTCCAGTTATGGGGGGAGATTAAGGCAATAAAGCCCAAAAAATAAGAAAGTCTCAATTATTAAAATAGCTTAGCATTTCACTAGCCCCCTCGGCTTTCCCGTCTAGTCCTCTGGACAGGGCCCTGGGATGATAGACTTTTGGAAGCCTTGTCACTGAAACACGGAGACCCAGAGCCTCACTGTGGTATCACATCTCAGCCTGTCTGGCCGGCCACGTGACTCTTCCCCTCCGGCCTGGCTCGGGCCACACCATTCCCCAACTACGTGCCCTGCCTTGGCCTGCTTTCGGGCTTTGTCCTCTCCCTGAACTCTCCCTGGTTCCTCTCCCTGACCCGCGCTCTCTCACCCCACATGGCCAGGTGCTGCCTGGCCTTTAGGATTCCACCCAGGTGCTTTTACACACACTACCTCTCTTAATCCCCACCAGCACCCTTGGAGGCGGACATTGTTGTTCCCATTTTAGAGGTATGCAGATATGTGTGCACATCTGTGTATAAATTATACGCACTTTACAGACACACAGAGCAAACAGAAGCACAGAGGGAGGTTAAAAATTTGCCTGTCATCACACCTGTAAGTGTAGCAATTCCAAAGCCCCGATTTGCACTTTGACTCACACCTTTGTCTGCCCGACACCTGTCATTAAGCTATACTGTAATCCCTCAAAGGAAGAGACGTGAGGAAGCCCTGCTAAACATGTTTTCCTGTCTTTCCTCCTTTGGGTCCAGGTGGAAGTGAAGCCATATGTGCTGGATGATCAGATGTGTGATGAGTGCCAGGGCACGCGCTGTGGTGGGAAGTTTGCCCCGTTCTTCTGTGCCAACGTCACCTGTCTGCAGTATTACTGCGAATACTGCTGGGCGAGCATACATTCCCGCGCCGGGCGGGAGTTCCACAAACCGCTGGTGAAGGAGGGAGGCGACCGCCCTCGGCACGTCCCGTTCCGCTGGAGCTGAGCCCAGGGCAGACCCAGCCACAAGTACTGGAGTAGATAACAAGGAGGGAAAAAGAGAGGGCACTGCCTCAGGGCTTACAGTGTTCTGGAAATCTGTGCATTCGTTCTCGATTTTTAAAGAAGAAATGGGTCTTTTTATTATTACTATTATTTACAGTCATATTACTGAACTCAGTGTCCAGTATAATGCAAAATTGCAGAGTGTATAACGGTACTGATTTGCACTTTGATTCACACCTTTGTCTGCTTGGTACCTTAATTTCTTACACCTGATTTGTCATTCGTAGCCTGCCATTCTCATCAGCGGCCATCAGGTTGATGTCTGTGATTTTTTTTGTTTGTTGTTGTTGTTGTTGTTGTTGTTCTGATTGTTTTTGAACTGGAGCATGCACTTATTTTCAGAAACTTAGAGAGTTGCCCCTAGGAGAAGACTTACCAAAGGTAATACTCGTGAGTAGGTGGCAGATGTAGCAAAAACTTCACAACAGTTCAGCAATCATTAGTTGGGGTCATTTAGAGTAAGGGTAACCCTTAATGAAAATAGGCCTTTAGTTTTCTATTTTGACATGTAAGGATACCTCATAAGCTGAATCTTTATTTTTCCTTCATGTTTGATTTTTGTTTTGCTGAGGATTTTGGTTAGATCTTTTAGTGTTATGTAAATTTATGCTGCAATAGCTTTTGCTGCTATTAAGATGGTATTATTAATACCATAATACTCTCTTCAGGCTAAGGTATCAATTTAAAGAAACCCAACAACACACGTTTGTGATTTAAGGATAGAATCAGCTGCCGAAAGGAGATCAGAATAGACTACAGAAAGCTTCAACGGAAGGTCACTATTTCTGACTGCATGTTTACTTAATCAGGTTGCTGCATGCAATAAATTTTATATCCAATGTCTAGTATAAAACCTTCCCACAATGCACAAATTAAGAATCTATATAAGCTATAAAATAACTGATTTTTTAAAAGAGTTTTTTTTTCACTCAAAGAATTGGTAATTGACTGGAGGAAGGCATGCCTCAATGAATGGAATGCTTCTGAAATTAGGAAGAGCCCATAACAGAATGACCTATATTACAACCAATATAAAACCTAGGTGTAGGATATTCTTAAAGCAAATTTGTGGATGGTAGATGAAGTACTTTGCGGTGCTCTGTTATATATTGTGCAATTTATTTTATATAGTAAAGTGATTATGTCTAACTGTGATCAAACTTAACTGTTTAAAGCCTCTGTGTCAGACATTAACGAACTTGACAGTTCATAACTGGTATATTATTAACTAACACATGAGCTCTTAGTTACAATCTCCTAGTGCTTGCACCATTTACATAGCTTCAGACCTTGTCCAGAAAACCAAAGAGCTCATCTTAGCTTACAAACACTAGGAATATATACAGTATATAGAGATAAGTTGTCAGATTGACAAACTAGGCACATTTTAAGAAAGTTGCGTGGCGGTGATGCTAAAGAAATGTCTGTCCAAAACAAGATGGCCTGGGCAGGGCTGGTTGTCTGGGTGAGAAATTTAACTACTTAATTCCCTGGATTTATCCTGTAAAGCTTGAATAGAAATAAGACCTGCTAGAACTACCATGGACATTTTTTTAGCATTCACTCTTGGGCTGCAGATAGTAATATATAAACACACACAATGATTGTGAGACTATGTAAATCTTTTTTTTTTTTTTAATCTTCTTCCTATGTTTTGGAATTCTGGGGACAATCTGACTGGATATGACACTGCAGAACAGATTTAAGTCGCTGTGTTTTATGTGCTCTGATTTCCTTGTCCTGTCTCTTAAGACTGCTTGTTTTTGTTTTGTTTTGTTTTATTTCTCCAGTGTTTAGTTGCAATTACCAGCTCTCAAACTATAGTTTGTTTTCAAAAAGGAAAAAAACAAAATAGTTTTTTACTGGATTAAAAATGCTTATTAGACTTCTCCCCTTTTGAGGTTACCTCTGGGCTTTTTGGTAACAATTGCGTTTTTCCAGCCCAGCTGTGGTTTTCTGTTTGTTTTTTTTCTATGTTTGTGGTTTTTTTCATCTGTACAAGAAATTTTGTTATGCACTACTACTTTTTGTATTCTAGACAGTTTTCAAAAGTTGGCTGAAGATTTTTTTGTTTGTTTGTTTTTAAGGAAAAAGGCATGCTTTCTGACTGACATGATCTTTTGCAATACCTCAATTTTGAAATATAGGAAAGAAAATGATATTTTCTAAGTAAGTTTATTCAGAAAAATATATATTAATTTAATTCTGCAAGAAAAAATGATTTAACAGATGGGTAACTTTATTTTTTTCATGCTTATTTGTGTTTTTTGAAAATGAAGTTAGAGCTTTATAACTATAATATTAAAGATCATATCTAACCTACAGAAATCTACCTAATTATGTGAAAGAAGCAAAACTTTTTGAAGAAGCACCCCTCTTTCATGTACTAAAACAACACTGAGATTTAAAAAAAAAAAGCTGGAAGCTTGTACAGCGGGAAGCTGATGTGGAGGTGAAAACCATTGTCATGAAGAATAGGTTACAAAGAATAAACTCCCTTTGGTGCTGAAAGTTGTGGATAGATGGTGGAAACTACTTTCCCTTCATTTGTATATTTATAATCAAGCGTTGATTGTGCACGACTGACCAGGATTGTGAAAGAGTTCTTCTGTTTGTATTTTTTTAAAGAGAACTTTTTTAGTTTATTAAATTATAACATGTTCCCTTTTGTTTTGTAAATAAATGTGCCCCCAAGTTGTTAATGTTATATTAAAAGAGAGGGTCCTTCAAAAAAAAATTATTTTTTAAAACACAAGAGGTGTTCTGACCTGCAACTTGACTGGGAAGCCCCTGGGTATCACAGGTCCTGTTGTGGCCTTTCCTTGATGTGACACTTGAACTAGTCGATTTTTTGAAGGCTAAAACCTAACCTCGACTATTTGTTGTTATGTGCAATACTGTTTGTACTGTTTGTATAAAAAATAGAAAAAAAAAGAAAAGAAAAAAGGCATAAATCTTTATTGCAGATTTATTTTCATTGCAAACTTTAGACATTGTGATTCACTGAAATCATTTTTCTACTGTCAAATATGTACCTTTTCTTCATGCTGGTATTTTTTCAATAGTAATGTAGCCTTTGTACTGAGACAAATTTTCATTGTTATTTTTAGAAAGATTTTTTGCTAAGAAAAAAATTAAACATATTTACATATTTTTCATTTTATTTCGTATTTTCTTTAAGGAGTGCTTTCTCAATCATTAATAGAGTTGTTTCTGGGAGGGACTTTCATATCTGGTCAATGTCATAATATTATTTTGTATTTTTACTTGGAATAAATTAATTTTATGATGCTAATTCTTTAAAAGTTTATTTTTTTCATTTTCAGTTATTTTTGAAGCTAAAACCTTTGTAATATTGTTACTAAAGTGTCTAGTTTTTTGAAATGCAAAGCTTTATGTATTAACTTGCTGATGTGGTTTACAATAGTGTGACAACGATGAACATGGTTATGTAAAGTGATTGGAAAATGTAATGGATAATTGGGTAATAAAATGACAGAATGAGCAGAACATGTGAGATTTTGACAAGCCTTTTCCTTTATTACAGTGGTTTAGTGTAAGACTAGGGATGTCACAGTACAGTTCTCTAGGGATGTCACAGTGGATTTATACAACACCAGGTGCAGCCAGATCTGGGGCCCTGATAATGGAGTCACCCCCACCGAAATACCACCAGGTTGAAAACCCGGCTAGGTCAACAGAATGATTCATTGTTTTTCCCCTCTAACTCTTCATTATGTCCTGTGTGCGTGCGTGCATGTGTGTGTGGGAGAGAGAGAATCTGCCACCAACTGCTGTCCATGTGTGAGACGGAGCCTTTCGCCCAGGCCAGATCTTCCCCTTGCATTTACAGTGGTGACGTCCGAGAGCAGAGGGATGCTGCCGGCTGGACGCCACCTTCTTTGTAGCGAGACTTGGATCACGGTGTCCCTCCTGACTTCCCTCCCGTCTGGCGTGGGTGGCGTGCTGAGGAAGCACACTTGGACATCACCACTGTATATGGACAGTTTCAGACTTCGTCTTCCTCCACCACCACCCACCCACCCCACCCCCCAGTTATTGTGCCCTTTGTTTGTCCCTCTTTGTGGCGACATCTGGCCACTCCGAGGATGATCTGTCCACCCTCCTGCTTCTTTTCCAACACCCACCTCACCTCGAAGCCATGATGTTAGGGCAGTGTGTCCCTGTACTGGCACTTAAAATGAAAACAAACTCAAAATACCTACGACTGCAAAACTGGTGTTGCGTAAACAGAACATTCAATGACTTGCTCTAGATAGATGGTGTGTTTCTACTAGTCCTTGATGGCCCCCTTCCAGCTCCATTGCTGCGGAGGTGAGGTTATCAATAACTTGGAGAAACGTGTGTCCAGAGTTGGCTCTTGGGTATGCTCTATGTATTCAGTTTTGTAAATAATATATAGATTAGATCAAGTCGTGATGTAAAATTTTAACTCAAATTGGGTACTACTGGTTGGAATTTTACATTAACTACAAATAAGTGATTAGGAACAGAAGAAAAGAAATTGGAAAATTCTTGCTTAGTGGTATCAAGATTATGCTTAGATTTCTGCCTATTTCTTGTGTTTTATAGCTTGTTAGTGAGGCATGGGCTAATGCAGAGTGTACTGCATTTATGCAATTAGCAAGTAACTGCTAGTTTTCATTTTATCTATTATATTAGCAACAAAATGGCATTTAACTGGGTAAAGCTCCTACCTAAATATTTGAGTATTGTGACATCTCTACTTGCAAGGTTTGAGTGAAAGATTAGTCACAGATTAGTGAAAAAAAAGTATCTTTTTGTTAAAAGTGGCTTATTTGTATGGGTTGTTGCTTTTTCACCAGTTTGTATGGTATGTCAGCTAACATTTTCTGTTTGTTTTTTTTTATAATAACCAAACTTCTCTATCTCAGCTGCAATAGTGTTCCATTTTACCACAGAGTATTTTATAATTAATGCTGTTGACTTTATACCCCAAAATGGGTCAAGAAGTGGATATGTGATTTAGGGATGTTTAAATTTGTATGATGCAGTTAATGGCAACAAGTAGAAAACTCGGGTGCTAATACAGGATAACTTCTGCTCTCTTTCTTTTCTGGATATAGTTCTGTTGGGGTATAAAGTATTAGGTATTTGTATTTTTGCTGTCAAAATAATGGACATAACTTTTAGAATGTTCACAGCTAAGATCTCTGTATTTGTTTTTCAACTAACAACTAATTTTAAATGTATTGTATTATCTTTTATTACCTGTTCTCTTAGATTGTTTTTGCTAGTAACCCTTACTCAGCTTCTGCCTTTGGGGCTTGGACTAATATTGCTTGTATGGAACTGCAGTACTGTGACTACACATGGAGCTCAATGCAGCTATTGCTTACAACTGCTTAAACTTTGTAGTTTGGACTTCATTTTTTTCTGTAATAACAACTTATTAAATATAGTTGTATGAAGTACTGACACTTGTCATCCTTTGCATTTGCTAGGGAATAGCTTGGAGTATGCAGATTGCATCTGGGAACATTTGCACATTCAGATTTGCTTGATTCGCCTTTTTGGGAGGGGGACACATGATGGCAGATTAAGTACAGCAAAATTCACCTTTTCTCTGATGCAACACTTTTTTCTTTTACTTTTTTTTTTTTTTTTAACCACAAGTATAGGGACGCCTGGGTGGCTCAGTCAAGTTTAAGCGTCTGCCTTTGGCTCAGGTCATGATCTCAGGGGCTTGGGATCAAGTCCTGCATGGGGCTCCCTGCTCAGCCGGGAGCCTGCTTCTCCCTCTCCACTCTCTCGCTATCTCTTTCTCTCGCTCTCAAATATATAAATGAAAACTTAAAAAAAGACAACTATAAAGTACAAGTGTATTTGATAAAGGAAGGTATTTGTTGACACAATGCACGTGTATTCAATGCAAGGTTTTTAGTGGGTCAGTTAGGTTTTCATGCCAGCACTTGAAACCAATTTTCAAAATCAAAACCAAGAAAGTCAATGAAAACGTAAGTACGCCCCCTTTCGTTTTACTTTTTACCCTAGACTCTCTCTGATCATTTCAGAAAATGGGTCTTTAAAGTCCCGTATCGACTTTGGACGCGCTAGAAGTTTAATCCTTTTAGAAAATGGATCACAGGTCGCTGCATGAAATAACCTCCTGGAGAGCTTTTACAAACTGCAGGGGCGCGTGAACCACCCCCGAGATTGGTTTCACTGGTTTGGGGTGGGGTCTGGCGCGGCTGTTTTTAAGCTCCCGGGGCTGTCCGCCAAGTCCCAGGGCCGTGCGGGGGCGCCCGGGCCTCCGGGGAGCCCAGCCGGGGCTCGGGGCCCGCCCGCCGCCCCACCCTGACGGGGGCGGACGGAGCCGCGCGGGGTGCTCGGCTCCGGGAAGGGATGGGGGCCGCTGGGGGCGTCCGCAGGCTCCCTCGGGCCCCGCTCGGGTCGCGGCCTAGGGGCGCCGGGTTGCGCACACGCTCTGTGGGCGCGGGCTCCCGCAGGCCTTCTCCGGCCCCCGAGCTTCTGCACCGCGCCCCGTCCTGCAGCCGGCACCCACATCCGGCTCCCACGGCCGCCCCGCCCCCGAGGAGGCCCCCATTCGCCCCTCGCCCAGCCCGGCAGGTAAGCTGACCCAGGCGGGTGCGCCCGGAGGGGCGGCTCGCGTCGCCGGGCTCCGCCTGCGCGGCCAGCAGGGTGCCCCGGAGCCCCGCGCTGACGCGGGAGGCCGGAGTCGGAGCTCCGCCGTCCGGCAGCACTTAACGTTTGGAGCTCTCGATCCCTCTTGCAGCCCCCTCCAAACTGGGCGGAGGAATGTTAAGTTTCGGGTCCCCTTTACTTTGGGTTTTCTAAAAATATATCCTCCTACGCTAAGCCACAAATGGAACCCTACTTTCAGAATGCTGGGCTGACTTGGACCCCACATTTGTCCCCTGGCAGAAAACGTTCTGCTGTCCGAACTCTTGGCGTGGAGGGGGAGCGGGGAAGTGCCTGGCGCCCTTGGGAGCGGGAGCCTGTTCTTGCAGGGGCGGACCTCGGGAGTCCCGGCCCGGCCGCGCGGAGCTTGACCGGGGGTCGGAGCAGCCTCCTCCCTAGACCGTCACCGCGCTGAGCCCACCAGGCTGGGGGACTCCTCACCCGCAAACGCGGGCGGAAGCTCAGCTTTAAAATTGGACTTGGGTGGCTCCTCACCAGACCCTTGGGTCACTCGGGCCCTCTCAAAATCCTAGTTTAACTGGAACGGCTGGGCTAAATAGGTTAATGCTCGGGGAAATGGGGTGAGGGAGCCCGGTGTATGGGTCCTACTGCTATTCACAGGGCTGTTGAGAAGAAAACCCTTTCCTCTCCCCCTTTTAGGTTCCGTGATTAGGAGCCTTCGAATTAACTGACAAATTAATAGAGGAGACAGAGCCTATTCTTATGCATGTGAATGAGAATATTCAATACATTAGATTATTCATGTGCGTGAGTTAAAGGTGGGGTTTAGAACCTAACTTAATGGAAGAAAGCGAGGGGGGAGAACAGAGCCTCAAATGGTTTCTTTAGGAAAGACTGGGTTTTCAGGAGAAGAAATGGCGAAGTTGGTGATGAAGTTTGTTTATGCAGGTGCGAGTGCCCTCCCGGTCTTCTTCCGGGCCAGTGAAGACCCCCCCCCCGGGGGTCCCCACAGATAAACGGCTGGAATAACGCTCTCACTAGCACAGATAACGTTACCCTTAGTCTGTGCCCTGATACGGGGTTCCGTAGTCTGAGTCCCGGCATTGTTGGGGCTCCGGGAAAGAGGACTTGGCCGTGCCGCGTGCGCACCCACTCACCTCAGCATTTCCTTGCGGCCCCGCAAGGGGCAGCCCAGGTCTTGTCATTTTCTTTGTTGTTACTGGTCAAATCTTTGATTAAGATGGTTTGAACTGTGGGGCGCCTGGGTGGCTCAGTGGGTTAAGCGACTGCCTTCGGCTCAGGTCATGATCCTGGAGTCCCGGGATCGAGTCCCATGTCGGGCTCTCTGCTCAGCAGGGAGTCTGTTTCTCCCTCTGACCCTCTTCCCTCTCATGCTCTCTATCTCTCATTCTCTCTCAAATAAATAAATAAAATCTTTAAAAAAAAAAAAAAGATGGTTTGAACTGTAATCTCACTTATATGTGGGATCTAAAACACGGAGCAAAACAAAACCCAGACTCACAGATACGGAGAACCGATGGGTGGTTGCGGGACGGAAGAGGGGAAGGGGGTGGGGCACAAAATGAGTGAAGGGGACAAAAAGTACAAACTTGCAGCTATGAAATAAGTCGTGAGGAAGTCATGTACAGCGTGGGGAATATAGTCAATAATATTGTCTTGACTTCGTAAGGTGACAGGGTTAGGAGACTCACTGTGGCGACTATGTCACAACACAAACGTTGAATCACTATGTTGCACACCTGAAATTAATACAGTATGTCAATTATACCTCAATGATAATAATAAAAAGATGGTTTGAGCTGAATTGTCAAGTATATTGGAAACATTCCAGCTTGTCCCCTTCAG